AAAAAAAAAAAAAAAGAATAGCAAAGCTAGCCTTAGGTCTTAAAGCAACACTTACATTTGCATATAATAGTTTTTTAGGACCAGATTCACGAATGTTCTTTGATTAATGATAAATGATGTTGCTTTGTGACCATGGGTTCCAGGAGTTTCAGCTCCTCGGGATTGTTTGTTGATAATGGTGAGACTGATGATTAGCACCTGTCTCTGTGATATCCCCACAGGGCTCTCCTATTGAGTTATGTAGCACAAATATGCCTTCGTGGCCAGCAAAATATAAAAACCTCAGCCTAGACTCCATTTTAGGCTTTGTTACTTTCTTACAGAGCTATGCCAGACACAGAAGTTTCAGAAATGAATTTTCTACCTCAAGGAGCTCACTGTCTATAGAAGAAAACTAACACTTTAGTACAACCTAATAATGCTGTAGTGCTTTGATAGGGGCACGAGATAGTACTATGAGAACACACAGTAGGGAGTACCTTACTCTTCCTGGCTTGGAGGAGTGTGGGGTGTTCAGAGGAGTCAGGGCTGAGTCAGAGGGGTATGAGGAGGAGAATGAAAGGTCAGGAAAGTATTTACAGAAGAGATAACTTTTGAATCAAGTCCTTAAAGATGGTTTGTCAAACAAAAGAGGGTATTTGACTCAGAAGGAATTATGTGTGTATTAGTATTGCATTCAGCCATTTGCCACAGAAAATCTAACAGTGATGCAAGGGGTCTATTTATCTCACCTAAAAAGGAGTCTAGATGACAGTGCAGCAGCTCAAGAATATCATCACATCACATAAATATCATGTACCTTTCATCCTCATAATTGCAAATTGGTCAATGCACCTCCAGCCTCATAACCATGTTGTAGAAAAGAGCAGGGTGAAGCAAGAAGGGGCCGTGCCTGTATCAGGAAAACAGACACTTTTCAGAAAACCCTGGCAGACTTCTTACATTTATGTGAGTTGGCCACTGTGTGGCTGTCCTGTTGCTGTCTAAAACCACTGGTGAGAAAGGAGGACAGAATGGATATTAGGGAGGAGAGGAGAAATGTCTGCATAATGTGTCATCAAGAGGGATGTCACACGGGAGCATGTTGCAAGTACGAGGGCTGCAAATAAAGAGCAATAGAGATTTATTATTTTTTTAAAGATTATATTTATTTATTTGAGAGACCAAGAGCCAGAGAGCACGAGCAGAGGGCGGGGAGTGAGAGAGCATGAGTGGGGTGAAGGGCAGAGGGAGAAGCAGACTCCCCGCTGAGCAGGGAGCCCAGTGTTGATGCTGGGCTTGATTCCAGGACTCCGGGGACTCTGGGATCATGACCTGAGCCAAAGGCAGACACTTAACCGACTGAACCACCCAGGCACGCCAGCAATAGAGATTTAAGTTGTTAGAGGTACAGGGATTCCTACATCTGTAAATCTCTCGATATCTCTCAGTCTCAGGCCAGACTCTAGGATAGAAAGGTAGTTGACAATGTGAACTTCAAAAGTGGACAGACCTCATTAGCTGTCTGAGTTTGCACAAATTACTTAAATTTTGTGAGCCTCAGTTTCCTTCTCTGTAAGATGGAGTTAAGAGCCATACCTACTTCATTGAATGATATGATCTATATCAAATATTTGGCACAGTGCCTTGCACATAGTAAGTCCTCAATAACTATTAGCTATTATTATTAGTTGTTATTATTGTAAATCAGCTCCTACCTACACACACACACACACACACACAAGATCCCTCCTCCTGTGGACCTGTGGATTGTCCTTCCTGCTGTTATATTTTTTCTTCTCTTTCTAGACCGAATATAAAACATAATATGGTCTTTTAGCATCTTCTCTGAGCCTGAATTGGATCTTCTAAGAACTGTCATTCTGTTAGGGTAACCTGCATCCTCGTGTCATCCCTTTCTAACATATGCCCTCTCCACACAGTGCATATTAATGAGGGACCCAGAGTGTCAAGGGTGCCTGTGAATAGACCACCATGGAGAATGTGATCATCCTTGTGCAGGTGCATAGAACCAGCACATACGTACGCATGCAAGCCTGTTTCCTCCTCTGGAGAAGACTGAAATGGGCTGTACTGTATTTGCTGATGTGTATTTTCTTCATGTGGAATCTATTATATTGATATATTCTTTCAGATTAGTGGAACATTTCAAGTAAATATTCCACCAGTTTTGCTTGGGTATACTTGGAGTAAGACTTATGTGTCTCCTAAAGAAGATTATAATGGGCAGAATTTAAAAGAACGTACCTTCTTAAATATTTTTGCTACCATTGAACCTCAGATATCACATGTCACCTGTAATCCAGAACTAGACAAGGTAGGTTTTACATTGAATTGTTTTACGTGTACTACTAAAGAAGTATAAACTCTTTTAAAAACTAGTAATAATAATTTCAAAGCTGGTAAAAATGAACATCGGTTCTTGATATTTTCCTGTGGGAACAACATGGTACCATGTCAAAATATTTTGAACTTTATTCTAGTTTTCAGATCAAACAGATGTTTTGGAGAGAGCACAGATTTTTAATAAAACTTGTAAGGCGATGTTTCCCAACCGAAGAATCACAACGACTGTCTTTAATGATGAAGGGTTACAGATCTTAGTAACCAGATACATCAAGGCACTAAATCCACCTCAGCAGCTCCTGGATATGTTTTTTCATGATTCTAATGCAACGCTTGTAAGATATGTATTTTAGTAGCTTTACTGATGTATAATTCACATTGCATAGAATTCACCCACCTAAGGTGTAAAATTAAATGGTTTTTAGTATATTCACAGAGTGGTGCAGCCATCACCATAGTAAATTTTAGAATATTTTTGTCAGTCTTAATTTATATTTAGTTTACTTTTTTATATTAACTTTGAGCATAACTTTCTTACTAAAAATTGTTTTGCTTTCAAAGACAGCTTCCTGAGAGAGAAACCATCTGTGTTGCAGTATGTCCTCCCGAACCCCAGATGGGGGAGAATATTTCTTCTAGATTCCTTTCATTTCTGCCCCCTTGGACTAGAGTCACTGTGGCTACAGCAGTTCACGTGACCACACTGGCTTTGTAACATTTCTACCAAACTTTGAAAAATTCCTTTGACTTCCAGGCAAAATTAAAAGTTACATTTCTTTTTTTAAAGATTTTATTTACTTATTTGACAGAGAGAGAGATAGCGAGAGCAGGAACACAAGCAGGGGGAATGGGAGAGGGAGAAGCAGGCTTCCCGCCGAGCAGGGAGCCCGATGTGGGACTCGATCCCAGGACCCTGGGATCATAACCTGAGCCGAAGGCAGACGCTTAACGACTGAGCCACCCAGGCGCCCTAAAAGTTACATTTCTAAAGGGGTTTTGTCCTTCTCAGGATAGCTTTTCACTGCATGTGGGAATGAAGAAACTGTGTTATATTTTTCTTTGTAAACTGCCAACGTAACACCTCCCACTCCATCCTTACGTGACTTTTTCTTTATGCATATCTATTTACCAGCTGACAAGAGAGACATGTTCAAAATTGAATTTCATATAAAATGAAGATTTATTCACTATGGACTCAAAACCTCCTTCTACTCTGAGAAAGGAAAATATGAAATCAGAAATTTAAGTCTCCTTTTTGAGAAAAAAATTAGCTTTGCTTAAAGGGCATCCATGAACAATGGTTTATATCCTTTGTTTATTCAGGTTTGATTGAGTCAGTTGGCTTACTTCAGAATATTTATATTATTTGTCCACTATAAAGCTCCCTTAGTTGGACTTTTTAGGATAAAATCAAAAGTCCTAATTTAGGTTGCCTCTGTCTACACTCTACCTTTCCATCACAAGTTTCTTCCCGTCTGTTTCCTATCACCCAAAGTCCAAGGAGTTAATAATGCTCTAGATTTATTTCAAAGACAATCTCTGTCTTTTTAAAAAAGTATATAACTCTTAGCAACTTTGCTTATGAAGGACTATGAACCATGTTTAATTAATTGCATGAAGTCAGAAATGTGACCAATGTAGGAGGTCATTAGTGCCTAAGTGATGGCTATTATAAATCAGTGAAAATATCAGTAAACTTTCTGTGTGGACTCATTACTTGTATCCCTTTCTCCTTTCCTACTTTAGTCTGAGCCCTTGTCTCCAGCACCAACATTTTCTAGCTTCAACAGCTTGTAACAAGCTTATATGAATAAGAATAATTCTGATCGATTTGGAAAAAGCAAATCAAACTTTTGCTATTCTTCAGTATCTTTCTAAAAAATTCTTAACAGTTGTAATTTAAGGTATATATGTAATATATATCATGTTTAACACTTTAATAATTTATTACAGTGAAGTGTTATGGTTAACAGGCATTCTCTGGAGTCAGGCTAACTTGGGCTTATTCCCGGAGACTCCATACATTGTGTTAGCTCTGTGATCCTGGGCAAGTTATCTTAGCACTCTATACTTGTTTCCTCTTATGTAAAACAAAAGTAATAATAGTATGTACTTGATGGGCTTGTGGGATGCACTAAATGTGATGATATTGCATGTAAAACACTGTGCTTGGTGATGGGCATGTAGTATGCACTTAATAAATGTTAGTTAATATTATTCTAGGACCTCATTGCTCGCTTTGTATCTTTGATTCCTATTGTGCCTGATATTCTGGATGAAAATGATGGTTTTGACATATGGATGACATCAGAGGTAACGAATTATGTTTTATTTATTTATTTGAGAGAAAGTGTGTGCGTGCATGAGTGGGGGGTGGGCAGAGGGTGAGAATTTCAAGCCGACTCCCCGCTGAGCACAGAGCCCTGCATGGGGCTCGATCTCACAACCCATGAGATCAAGACCTGAGTGAAAACCAAGAGTCGGACCTTAACCAACTGAGCCACTCAAGCACCCCCATTATGTTTTATAATTGAAATATATAGTATTTCTTACCTTTCTCCTAAAGAAACATTTATGCACTTATGAAATACTTTGTCTTACGAAATTTGAAAGCATTTGATAATTTAATACATCATTTTCAGCTCTATAACAATCCATAGAAATAATTCTTAAAGAGGAACAATCTTATTCAATGTTATAAGTGGTAGCTCATGAATATTTTAATTCGATGGGAATCCCAGGAGTACAATATTATGACATCCTCCAGGGAGAAATATGGCTTGTCACTATGGAGCTGGACAGATGCTGTGTCTAGGACAAATACCACCACTTCTCAGAAGCTTTGCCCAGCCTCCCCACATCTGAATGAAGAGCTTACACAGCAATGCTCTTCCTTAGCACTTGGATTAAAGTTCTCTTTAGATTTGTTGCCAACTAGAATACAAGCCCCATGCAATATCTGAGACATATTTATACTAAACATTTGTTTATCTGAAGTGCAGATTTAGTTAGTCATCTACTTTTTCCCCCAAATCTGGCAACCCTAATTAGAGCAGTTTTTTCATTCCACCCTAAATTATATTTAGTTGCTTATATAGTGACCCTACACCCACACTCTGTACATATATATATCCCAAGTTTAACCTCTGAATGAAGAAGTAGACTTGATTATTTATTTTTATATTTTTACGTAAATGTAGCAAGCATTCAATAAATACTATTAATTGAAAATTACTAGTATGACAGGAGCCTAAGAGAGGGACACTTTCCGTCTGGAACCAATGGTCCTGGCACTTAATCTAGAATGTTTTAGAGGCTAGAATGGAGCTGACACGGATTTAGGGAGCACAGGGCTAACTTAATTAGTCAGCTACCCTGTCTTCTTCTGCAAAGGGAGACACAAGCATGTGGTTCTAGTGATTCAGTGATTCAAATCTAGTAGCACTCAAAGAGTTGTCATTAACTTTAGACTCTTCTGAGACTCTTTGACCTAATCAGAATATGTTCATGGGTATTATGATCCTGCAGAACATTGAAAGAGCCTCTAAAATATCTAAAAAATAACCATAAAAATAACCATTCAGGTAAATATTAGTACTCCTGAGTCTCCCCCCACCCCGTTCTTCCAGTTGAAGAAGTTTCAATCATCTTCCTGATGGGGCTTCAACTCCATCCTCTTCCTCTCTTTGAGTTGAGAGCACTATATTGGTATTGGACAGAGTGAAGCTCCATTGACCAAAGGATCCTTTCCTCTAAAAACTCTATGTGACTTCCTATCAGATGAGGTTTCTTAAGACATCAGTCTGTATGTCCCTGTTTTCCAAGGGCAGTTTAATATTTGTCCTAAACAGAAATATCCTATTTTTGGATGATGAACTATTTGGTCACTTACACAGTATCCACATTAATTGTCCCATAGTAAGGGTGACCCCTATATTCCAAGTTAGTGTTCTCCCCAGTGTTTTCTCAGACAGAGGTATCAGAGCTTTGAACCTGGAGGGAACAGAGAGGCTCTAAATCTGTTGGCTGCTTATATTATTCATCTTTCTCTTCTGTTTTCTTTTGGCCTTGTTGCTTTTTCTTTGCCTCAGCGCTGCATCAGTTTGGCTACTGGAAATAAGGAAGAGCATGCCATACTACTCTGTAATTTCTTTCTGTATTTTGGAAAGAAAGCTTTGGTCCTCCTGGGGACCTCAATGTTGGAAGTAAGTGCTGGAGTTAATACTTAAATAGTGTAAACAAAACTAATCAGCCTTCAGCTGCAAGTTTAAAAGACGCCAAACCCAGTTTTCTGCCTTTTCACAAGCTAATTGGGGAATTTCATGTACAAGCAGTTATTTAGTTAAGAGGATACTGTTGGCTCATCAAAATGACCACCATGTAAAGAAAGGCTTTCCTTCACTTTTCTTTGTAAAGCTGTACTAATAATAGTGCTACTTCATGGGGTTACTAAGATATTAAATTACATAGTGAATATGTGAGCAGCACCTTGGTTCATAGCAAATACTCAGTAAATGGTGGTTATGGTGGTGGTGGTTGTGGTGATGTAACAATAGTCATAGCAGTAGTTGTAGGGGTTGTTAACTGTCAACCACCATCATCTTTATAACTTTCTAATAATAGATTTAAAGATCCTTAAGAAATACTTCTCCCTATTCTTCCTTCCTCAGTTTTTAGTCCTACAAGATGTGGGTCTGAAATTTGTGTTTACCTACCTGAAATTTTTACAACTTAAATATGCTCCTGCATTCATACCTCCAGAAAGCTATCGTCTTTTGGATTGTTTCTATTTCTACCATGAATATCTTGATAAGGGTCAAGATTTCCAGTCCGGTTTTAGGCTTTGTGTTATGATCCCTTATTTCTCTATATTTCCTTGGCATGGCTTATTATTTTTGTCATGGTTAATCTCCCCCCTTGCCATCCCCCTGTGTAGTTTTAAGTGCCACTAGATGGCAGTAAACAGTCGACAATATTTCAACAAACGTTTGCTTTTTGTGCCTGTGAGTCAACACGGTGGGTGGCACCTCAGCTGTGTGTTTCACCTCAGCTGTGTGGCTGAGGTGAGGCCTCCTCTTTATTGTAAAGAAGATGAGCGCAGTGATAAAGAACAAGAGCTTTGGAGAGACCAGACTGCACGGCCCGGTGTTAAGAATTTGTGTTTGGGAGTCAGTCAAAGAAGGGTTTAAAACCCAGCAATGCCGTTTACTAACTGTGTGATCTTAGCTTGTTTACTTCTCTGAGCTTCAGTTATCCTCTCCCTAAACAGGACTAATGCCATTTACTGTTACGCTAGACAAGCCCCTCAACCTCTGACTCTATCTGGAAGATGGGCATAATGATCACCCCATCTCAAAGAACTTGAAGTGAATGCAAGTGAAAAAATTTCGTGTGAATGTTGAGCACAATACCTGGTGCACATTAATTCCCAGTAAATGTTCAGTAGTCTTTATTATTATTACCTGAAATTGTTATTCTTTTCTAAGAAAACTTTGAACTTAAAAAGGTATGTTCAGAACAGAATAATAACATAATGACTACTTTTATTCCTCAGATGGTTTCCTATATACTTTCTCTCTAGCCTCTAACTTCAGATCTTGTTCTCAAAATTAACTTAATGGCTTTTTAACTTCACTTGGCTTTTTCAGAGCCTTAGGCAAGTGTCCATTTCCTAACTCTGCGTGGTGTTCCCCTTCAGTCCCCAAGTATATTCCACTCAAAGCAGGGCTAGTCCATATAGTGCCTTTGTGTGAATTAGGCCACAGTATCCCTACCTCAAAACATTTCAGTGCTAGCTGTTGTCAGAGTATACGGATTTTTCTAGAACAACATGTTTTACTGCTGTGAGGGTACACCCTACAGGGCTGTACATGGCAGCACCAGCTCAAAAGTTCTCTTCTTTGAATCTTCATGCCAGCCTGGGCCTGAGGATTTCTGAGGATTTTTTTTGGCTTTTTTGCTTTTCAAAAAGACTTCGAAGACCCTAAAAAAGACTTTTAGAAATCAAAGATATCACATACTTACATTATAATTTCCACATACAAAAATGAGTTAAGTCAGCCACCCACCAAACATGACTGTAGCTCTTTTTCCTCATATAGGGACAAGTGGCTTATGTATTAACTCAAGAAACTGATGAATATTTGCTTTGGAATCCATTAACTGGGCAATGTCATAAGCAGTTTGACCCATTTTGTCCCTTACAAAGTATAGACTGTTTGTTTGATGATCGAAATGTAAGTATATGGCGGGGGTGGGGGGCGCGGAATCTTATTTTGAGTTATCGCCTGAGAGTCAAACAGTGGACCTCTACCCTGGCTCTACATTAGAATTGTGTGGAAAACTCTGAGGAAACTACAGATGTTCAGTTAGAATCCCTGGGATATGGAGCCAGGGAAAACTTTTATCCATAAAGTTCCTCAGGTGATTCTGTAGTGCCTCCAAGATTGAGCACCAGTAATCAGTCTAATGTTCACATACCCCTAGAATTGCTTTACTTCTGACCTCAGAACCTCCTTTGGCTTCTACCACTTCATTTGGTAGTAGGACTGTAAAATTTTGCTCCATCCTAACCAGGTAGAGCCTTTGTGCTCCCATGTGCCTATACTGATTTTATGTTTATGTTTTAATAGGTCTGGTTTAATATTCAAGAAAATAATACACCGATGGCTGTACATTTTGACTATTCAAAGGAAAGTTTCTGGAAACAGTTGCTTCCAAAAAATTTCCAAGGGACAAAAGCACATACCATACAGGTAAATTATATTTTTCCAGGTGTGTCTGTATGAAAGTTACCATTTATTCTAATCTTTGCCAGTCATACCAGCTCTTGTTATGTTTATATAGCTGGTTGCATGTTGATTTACCTGGCAATATTAATAAAATCTAGTTTTCTTCGCCATCCAGCCTGAGTTTGGGCTAGTCTAACCATACTCCTCTGCTTGCAGAAAAGAAGAGTTGAGAAGAAGGTATCATCTTAAATGTGAATTTAGATTTTAAAGTAAAAATTTTTAAATATTTATTCTAAAACTGAAAATATAATGTTAAGATGGTGCAGTAAGTTTACTTTGACCTAGTCCTTCTGTTCCACATCCGTGGCAATGGTAAAATATAAAAATTGAAAAATAGAAGGCTTATCGGGGCTCCAAACCATGACGATTGTCTCATGGAATAGAAACAGGACAGAAATACTAGCAGTGAGTAGGGCCAAACAGGCGACAGCAGCAAGGTCTGAAAATGGTTCATGAAATCCAGGGAACCAGAGCTAGTCCCACTTTTTGGAGTCAGGGGTTGTGATGGGGCTTCCTACTTCACTACTCTTGAAAGAAGATGGGGAAGGAATGCTGCAGACTCACTGCCTGGGGCATAAGAGGCAGGAGGAGGAAGCACCTCACACCTGAGGTCAAGAACAACCTAATGACCAGAGATGGCTCAGCCAGTGGATCTGCGATGGACTCAGTGTCACTTTGTGAGGACACCCCAAATTTCACTTCAGTGGCTGTTTCTGGATTGAGGGCCAGGGCACAGCAGGGTGCAAGCAATGGCAAAATCCATAAACTAAGAGCTACGAGCCCAGAGAAAGTGAGAGAAAAAAAAAAAAGTAGAAAAATAGGCAGAAAACAGTTCATAGAAGCAGAAACTTGAATGCTCAATCTCACTCACAATCAGAGAAATACAATTTAAAACAAAACACTACTTCACATGTATAAGATTGACAAAAGAAATTTTAAGTGTGATCATACCAAGTGTTGGCAAAGAAGCAGAGAAATGGTGGGAAGGTAAATTGCTATAAATACTTTGGAAAGCATTATGATGATATCTGATAAAATTGAAGATGCTCCATCTTTGATCCACCAATTCAACTTCTAAGTATATACCATAAAGGAGCAAGCACAGGGAGACAAGTACAATAATGTTCATTATAGAATTGCTTGAAATAGCAAAAAAAGATTAAAAAAAAAAGAAAGAGGGGCACCTGGGTGGCTCAGTCATTAATCGTCTGCCTTTGGCTCAGGTCATGGTCCCAGGGTCCTGGGATCGAGCCCACATCGGGCTCCCCACTCTGCGGGAAGCCTGCTTCTCCCTCTCCCACTCCCCCTGCTTGTGTTCCCTCTCTTGCTGTGTCTCTCTCTGTCAAATAAATAAATAAAATATTTTTTAAAAAAGGAAAGAAATAATTCATCCACCAGAAAAAGAATACATGAGTTATGAAGTATTCATACTATGAAATCTTCTATATAGTAGTAAGAAAAAAATAAAACAATTTACACTAGTTCTCAACTTGGACTGTGTATCAATTACATCAGAATCTCTGAGGGTGGAACTCGCACACCTGTATTATTATTTAAAGCTCCCCGGGTGATTCCAATGTGCCGCCGAGGTTGAGAACGACTGGTCTAGAGCCATGCACATCAACATGAATGAATATTAAAAAAGTAATGTTAAGCAAAACAAAGAATATGTGAAATGACACATAGAGTACAAAATCACTTATATAATAAAAGTTTGAAAACTATGTGTTGTTTATGTATATATAGACACATAGTGATAATGTAAAAGCATTCATAGGAATGATAAATACCAAATTTAGGTGAAAGGCTACCTTTGGAGACAAAAAACAATGAGATCAGGGAGCAACATACAAAGTACTTCAAGTCTATCTGTAATGTTTTACTTCTTTTTAAAAAATCTAAAACAAATATAGAAGAATGCAAATATTAGATATAGCTAAGTGGTAGGTAAGTTGAGTGGATATTCATTACGTTATTCTCAGTGCTTGTCTGTGTATTTGAGGCATTTGACAATACCAAAAGAATGCATGGAGGTTGCAGGGAAGGGATCAAACAGTACTAAACTGTATAAAGAATGTCCCCCCTTCAGCATTTTTCCTCACTAAGAAATAACCACTCTTAGTAGTAACTTAGTTGTGCGTCCTTCTAAACGTTCTCCACATGTTGCAAGCATATATATTTTTTTTATATTTCCTGTTTGTAAAGTCATTTTAAAGAAGGGGAAATGCGCTTATCTCTCTTGAGCAAGCACTTTCAGCATCCATAGGCCATGCCTTACTCTTGCCCTCCCAAAGTTGTGACTGATGCCTTGCTGCCCCCTAGGGAGGAGAACGGTACATTTAGAGATGAGGTTTTATGTGTTCTATTAATCAGTCTATTAGGCGTTTAGTGAGCACATCTCGCATGCCTGCTGAGCCAGGGCTGTGTCAGGCATGGGTTCCACAAGGAAAAGACATGTCTCAGTAGTCTGGGGGCTTGTGTTCTCAAGGAGCAAAGAGAAGGAAGGAAGCCCTTGCAGGACAGAGTGGTAAATGTGATTACAGAAGAAATGAGTGTGCTTTGGGAGCACGCAGCAGGAGGACCTGAGGGGAAGGACAGTTGTTGGGCTTCCTGGGAAAAAGGGATGAGGGGCAAAGGGAGGAAGGTGAGCAGGAGCCGGCCGAGGGGAAACTCAGGGTGGACAACCACGCAGCAGAGTGAAGGTACAGCAAGCACGAAGACGTGCGGGGCATGGAGGGATCTGGGGAGCAGCTGAAAGGCAGCTTGGCCGTTGCCAGGGAGCGAGCAAGACAAGCTCAGGGTTGAGCAGAGTCCTGCTAAGGATGTGTCCCTGTGTCTCAGGGCAGTCAGAAACCAACAGCACTAAGGCAAGGCTGCCATGATCACAGCTGTAGTTTCTAAAAGCCACTCTGCCTGAGCGTGGAAACGAAACGTTTGCCAAGTTGAATCTATAAATATAAAACTCAGAATTGCATTTGGCTTGTATCTCTACTGATTTCTTTCCTGTGGGTTAATGGCCCTCAATCTTCTGTCTTGCCACACACATCCCAAAATAAACTGCTATCTGTAGTGAACACTTCTGTATCGTGATCACAGACACAAATTTAAGCGTGTAAGATGAGTATGTGGGTATGCAGAGATGAAGTTAACAGGGAAATCCTCTTGAAGTTTTAAAAGATAGGAATTCCTGGAAAGAAAGGGGACTTTGCCAAAAAAAGGAAAGTGGACAAATAACCTTTATGAGGTATTTGTACCGAGTTAACATAACCCAGGCCTCTTTTTCGGGCCTGAAGTTGGCCTCACTAATCCATGAGTTACCTGCCGGAGAGAAGGCGCGGGGGAGGGGAGTGGAGGTGTTGGAGGGTTGCACAGTGGTTGGTGGCAGCAGTAAAGGTATTCGGCTTACCTGTCCTGTCTGGGAGAGCTGGTGGCCCTGCAACGTGACGTTGGAGTTCATAGTTCCCTTTCTGCAGTGCCTCCCATCTCCTGCCGGGATCTGTTATGGGGAAGCTCCCTGTGCCTGGGCCTGTTGTCACATCTGTCCACGGCAGGCACCAGAACCCTGGAGGGCTTGCTGAAACACAGAGCGCTCAGCCTTGCCCTCGGAGTTTCTGATTCAGTGGGTCCCATGTGGGGACTGAGAAGTTGTATCTAACGGCTTCCCAGGTGTGAGGTTGCTGGTCTGGGGTGGGGGTGGTGGGCACACTACAAGGACCACTGGCTTAGATCACCACGTGACAGACTGAATCTTCTCGATCACTCCTGAGATATTCTAGCACCTAGAGGTCTAAGAACTGTTGCCGTCTTTTTGCACAACCCTCCTTCCACTCGTGTCCCTGTCTCTACAGCTTTCTCTGTTTCTCAGTTCAGGAATGTCCAAAGTAAAAATGTCTAAACCCAGTCTTCTTGTCCACGTGAGCCCTGCGAAATAGGGCGGGGAGGGCTGGTTTGGGTGGTAGACTTAAAGAGTCCTCTCTCCTTGCAGCAAATCCCATAGGGCAGGGAAGGGAATATGGGGAACGTGGTAGAGCATTGCTCTCTGCTGTTTTTACAATGGCTTGGAGACAGGGGAAATTGAAATGGACCACACACACACACACACACACACACACACACACACACACACGCAAACAAAAAGACCCAGCTCCTGCAAGCTGAAAGAAAAGGATACTCAAAAAAGGAAGATGATAAACCATGTTAAAGGAGTAGTAATAACAATAATACCTGATTTTATTGAACAATATGTGCCAGACTCTGCGTGTATTACTTTATTTCAAAATCTTCACAAGACCCTAGGGACATCAGTACGATTATTGTCCCTCTTTTAAAGATGTGGTAACTGAGACTCAGGTTAAGTAACTTCACCTAGACCCCAGTTGATCAGTGGAAGAGACTAAAGCAGCTTGCCAAAGGCTATCTGGTCTTATCGATAAATATGGCAAATGCTTGTTTGAATAAATGAATGTGGGCAGCAGCTCCGTCTCATCTAGGAAAAATACCCTAATTCCTCACCCTGTGCTCTGGTAAAGTAGTACTAAAATCAAAGGAAGCACTGTGATCTGTTTGACTTTGGTGCCTCTGTAGTGGAGTGATTTTGCCACATGAAAGGGGTTTGGGTTCCCCTTGTTACAGTTCGCACTCCAGGGGTGACCGCGATGTAAAGGTTGTCTCCCTAGAATCTTTTTTGACTTTCAATTGTCTGTATATTTCAGCCTGAAGAAATAATTTATTGTGAGACTAATAAAAGCATGATAGAAGATCTAAGGAACAGGTATCACCTTTATTTATATCTTACAATTACTACGTTTTCTCCCGAATCTTTCAGTCCTCCTTCCACCTTTCAGTCCTCTAACCCAGTCTCTCAAAATACCTCTGCGATTCCGCAACAGAAGCAGGAAATGGAGTTTATAATAGTCTCTTCCACTGAGTCAGCTGTCTTTTGGTCTGTGCATCGAAAAGCAGCCCCTCTGCCATTCCAGAACACTCCTTAAAAAGACTATCGAAGTAAAAAAAATGGTTGCCTCTGGAAACATTGTGGGGCTGCTGTTGGGAAGTTCTCAACACAGACACCTGTTGATGTTAGAGTAATAATAATAATGTGGTAGCTAATACCTCTTGAAAGGACATGAAGGTAAATGGCCCACCACTTGGAGTATGGAAAAAACATCCAAGTTGGGCGGTAACATCAATACTGTCCCACACCCACCCCCAGCACTACCCCCTTCCCTTACACATACACACACACACACCACACACACACACGTGCCCTAAGGAGTTACTCAGTCAAGCTGAACAAGTTTGTCAAAGTCACAAACTTTGCAGCAGGCCTTACTCCTACTCCAGATGTGTCAGAAGCTTCTAGATCTTACTGCCTCCAGTGACTCATGCCGACATAGTAGGCTGCCACATAAGCTGCTACCAACTGATCAAAACAAAGCATGACAGAAATAATTTTGCTACTCTCTTATCTCACTAGCACACAACTCCCACCTCTTATTCCCTTCCTTTTTCCTCAATTCTTAACAAAAAAAGGGAAGAAATGGCCTAGAGAAATGATTCCCAGCTTCTGGTTTTTTATCAGAATCAGATTCATAGATTCTAGAACTATTTAAAAATACAGATGCCAGGGTCCCAGACCAGGCCTGTTGAATCAGTATCTGGAGGTACAATATGTTGATAAAGCCCTATTAGTGATTCTGATGCTTAGCTACTACTGAGACAGCAAACTCCAAACTGCTTGGTTACACCACGGACTCAGCCAAGAGGAGACTCCCAGTGGCTTTTTTTTAGAGCACACACTGATTCTGTGCAGAGATGAGGCTTCCCAAGTGGGCCCCATCAATCCAACCTGCACTGTCCCTGGAACAGTCCACCAGCAGGCACTGTTCTAGGGGCTGAATATACAGGCACAAATCCCTGCCCTTACGGAGGGTACATTCTAGTAGGGGAACCTGATCATCATACTTATCAGTCTGTGCCTATTTCCTTCCAACTCTGCTTGCTGAATTAACTGATCTAATAAATCCATCCCTGCTAACATCACCCAGACCAGATATCTGAACTTTGGTAAATGCAGTTCCTTGGAAACACAATGTTTTATGGCAGGCGAGGGTCCTGGAGAATGGGGATGTCGGTCCAGTGACCAGACAGTAGATGGTTGTCACATCACACCCAGTAGGCAGCTGCCTACACACAGGTAACTGGAAAAGAGCTGTTGCCCTGAGATCTCATTGCTGGCTACCCCAGGAAGCTTCTTGCTTTCCCAAGCCAAGCAAGAGCTGCTTCTCCCCAACTTAATAATGTGAATGATGGCAGATATCCTTAGCCATAGAGGTCTGGTTCATCCTAAATAAAAAAAAAAATATCATTCTCATACTTGAGCAAAGTGCCGAAACTCTTACACATTTATTAAACAAATTGTAATTTGTCATAAACTAATCTTTGCATTCTTATGTTAGGATTGAAAGGACTCTGAAATGTAAAATGATGGAATGGCGACCTAAACAGCCAACACGTTGGAATCGACAATGCACTTATATTTTGCGAAAAATCCTTCCTAAACTAGAACTTGGCACTGGAAGCTTTGTTTCATCTGAAGAAGAGAGTGAATTTGAAAGACTACTACAGTTTTATTGGGTGTGTATATGATTTAGTGCATTAATAACATTTGTTTTATCTATGTTGTTCATTACTAGGTAATAGTAGCCTTAAATATCCCTGAAATGCTTTTATCTTGATCCTAGATGATGGATGATATGACATTAAAATACATTTATTTAAAGACTAAGAAATTTCAGATATACTGAACAGCTATTACCATGACCACACTGCATGACATTTTCTTGGAATCGGTCATATGTTGTATGTTATATAAATCACAACCTCTGGAAAGAGATGACCAAAAGGAAATCACCTGCAACTGAGAAATTGAAAAATGATCCCTTGGTGGTAGTAATAGAATAGATTCCCTGTCCTTGGTTCTGGGCAAGAGGACTCCAGGCAAGCTTTAATATCTTTTATATGTAAAATACTCCAAATGTATGTACCCAGCCTGGACTTCTCTCCTGACCTCCTCTCTTATGTATTTACCAACACATTTGACATCATCCTGGATGGTTAAAAGGCATCTCAAACTCAACAAGTTCATAACCAAACATGGTGGGCATTTGGTATATTGCTAGGGTCCTTCTTCTTTTCCTCTACCTACCCCCAGCTCTGGATATCCTCTCACTGACTCTTCCCTATGAACTGTTCCGGTGGGTTTTTGAAAGCCCCAGCCTCCCAAAAGTGAGACTCTTTCCCCCTACTATCCCATAGACTAGGAAATATCTCCTAGGGAAACCCTATGAGAGAAGAAAGGAAAGAATCTGTTGGGAGTTCAGTACTTAGGCTGTCAGGTCGGGGGGAGCTGCAGGTGCTATTTATTCATGAATAGGGAGGAATTGTTTTGTTTTGCATTAAAAAAAAACAGAATTAGGGGTAAACAGGTAAGCAAAGCAATATAAGCCAAGGTTTAAAACTTAGAATTTCTTTGTAAAATTATCTATTTAATAACACACAATCATAAACCTGAGCTGAATCCTGTGGCTTGGATTCAAACCCTGGTTCAACCACTCACTAGCGTTGACCAAGTAACCTAACTTCTCTATACTTTCCACCCCACTGGGCGAGATAAACAGGGTTAAAAATAGTTATCTGGTTTGTGGTTATGGTGAGGATTAACCACAGCACCCAGCACTCAGCAAGTGTTTAGCAAATGTTAATTATTATTTGTATTTTATGTGCCAGGCATTGTGTTAGGCACTGGGGTTATGACCATAAACAGGGCGGATACAATCTTGTGCATTCACAGAGACTATAGGCTAATGAAACAGACCAGAAAACATATAATTGCAATATATTTTATTAAGTAACATTGGAAAGGATAGCATCCTATTGCAACCACATGGGAAGGACACATGAACAGATTTAAGGATCAAGAAAAGCCTCCTGAAGTAAGTAATCTAAGGTTTGAAAGAGGTGTATGATTGTTGTCTGTGTATTATTAAATAGATAATTTTATGTAGGACCATGTACCATAATCCTTTAATCCCATCACATGGTTGTCACTTAAGAAATACGAACTGGATCAGTGTTAAATAAATTCTCCTGTAATGCTCACTTAAATACCTCATTTGTAGGACCAGGTAATTTTTTCGTTGGCAGTTTGCTATTCTAGAAAGGGTGCAAGTATGTGGAGTGTTGAGTGTGCAGGCTCTGGTTTCAGCTCTGGCTCTGCTCCTCTCTCTCTAGAAAGTGGGGATTATAGTAGAACCTACTTCATAAGGTTGTTTGAGGATTAAATATGTATGTGAAGCATTTAGTACTGTTCCTAGAACATCATAAGCACCTGTAAAATAACTGTTATTATTTTATGACTATCATTTTTTGAGGCTTTTGTGATATTTTTGCATACAGTGATTCCTGATTACCTACATAATTATAGCATGGGTTTACACGTCATTCTGTCTTTTGTCCAGGTCACAGGATTTCCTATCCAGATGCCATACACTGATGTACAGTCAATTATTGATGCTGTGTATCAAACTGGAATTCATTCTTCTGAGTTTCCCCAGACAGAATTTGCTCTGGCTGTGTACATTCACCCATACCCAAACAACGTGTTGTCTGTGTGGGTCTATTTGGCTTCCTTAGCTCAACATCAGTGAAAAGGAAGAAGGGAAAAGGAAAAAAAAATGTGCTATGGGCCCCTTGCCCAGAACAATCAAGACTTTTCTGATACTTTAGGACTTTGCTACTTATCCTCAAGTCCAGCCAAGTATGAACCCAAGTTTTGGTTCTTTTATAGAGTTGGGCACCATGGAGACTCACTCCCTGAGCCTTTGAGAATGAGTGTAGATGACCTCCCCACCGGAGACCTCTTCAAGGAGAACACTTTGGTTAGTCTGGTGGCCTTGGGTCACTGTCTGCAGTAGGTCTTATTATGGGAAAGAAGTGATTCTGGCCCCTCCCTCTGAAGCCAGTATTACTCAGGTTGTAGGCCTCACACCACCTCCGTCACATCGCCTGGGGAGGCTTGTTGAAAATGCAGACTCCTACATCCCACCTAAGACCTACTGAATCGGAACCTCTGGGAGTGAAGCTCCAGAACCCATGTTATTGTAAACAAGACCCCCAGATCATTCTGATGACCTGTTAAGAGTGAGAACCCTGCCTTACAAAATGTTGTCATTACCAATGTGAGCTTGGCACGTTTGATGCTGGTTCTGATGCCATTCCAGGTGGAAGGTATTCCAATACGAACATGAGGTCATTGCCTCTCATAAGATAAAAGATTATTGCACTAGTGAAGTCAAAGGAAAATCTGCCACGTTGGGCTGAGGGCTGAGGCCAGCTTCTGGGGGCTTCCTAAAAGTTTTCACTTGGGATGCTACTGACCTGAAGTTCTTCCAGCTCCAACTATTTGGAAGGGTCTCCCAAGAAGCTCTGTTTGATATGCTTTCCTGATTCTGTGAGAAAGGGAGAAAATGGTCTTACTAAATCTCAAGGCTCCTTTTTCCCTTAGTGAACAGCCTGCCCATCCTGCCTCTGGCACTTTTCTGCTGCTTTCCTTTCCCCGTGGAGGGGGGGCCAAGGAGGCCCATCTAGATCCTAGGAGCCTCGAGAGAGAGAGTGGACAGGGACCTGAGTCAGAAGCACTGCACTTTCTTCTCTTTAATTGTTCTGTGCTTCACAGAAAAAAATATACACTTTACTTAAACGTTACAGAACAACTTATTTTAGAAAAACCAAAGGATACAGATTTCCAAAGGTTGATGAGAGCACTTTTATAGGAGGTAAAAACAGGAGAAAGAAAATTGACCTCTCCCAGTGCAGAAGTGTGGGAGCTTCTTGGGTCACTCTCATAAGCAGAGACCCCAAGTTCATCTCTGGGGAATCTTCAATCTGAATTCTCTCCTGCAGAGCGCCTTCATGGGCTGATGCCAGAGAAGACCTCATTTATTTTCAGTGATGTTCATCTTGGACCAAACTTGAGATTACTAGAAGAGTAAAATAGTAGGGATGTGGGTGAAGAGAATGCTTTCTCTCCAAGGTTAAAACCTAATTGTGTGTGTTCTCTGGCACACATATGAAAATTAATTAGAATTTTTGTTCTTATTTGAATGTTTGTGTTTAAATGCTATATGAAGTTTTGTTATTAACAAGTCTCCCACGGTGATTGGGGTAGCACAAAATGATGTCAATGGAAAGACAAGGTTACCAAAAAAATACTGAACTCATGCAGTTCATTTCTGCGGCAACTTCAATATTTACATTACTATTTTGCTAGTTGTTTATGGTTTTTGAATTGTTAGGCCACTCATGAGTAAGGGAGAAAGTGTTCATAGGCAAGCATAGAGGACCCTTCTGTATCATATGCATTTTTTTTTTTACAGGTGTATGGATTTCTCAACTAAAATTTTTTCCTTAAAATTTTGAAACTGTAATGAACCATTTTTTTGTCTACTTTAAAAATACATGATTTTATTCTTAAGTTTTTAATTCCAATTAGTTAACATACAGTGTTATATTGTTAGTTTCAGGTGTACAATATAGTGATTCAGCAATTCCATCCATCACCCTGTGCTCATGACAGTACCCTCCTTAATCCCCATCCCCTCACTCACCTGCCCTCTGCTAACCATCGGTTTGTTCTCTATAGTTAAGAGTCTATTTCTTGGCTTCTCTCTCTCTCTCTCTCTCCCTCCCTTCCTCCCCTTTGTTAATTTGTTTTTTTCCTTAAATTCTACATATGAATGAAATCATATGGTATTTGTCTTTCTCTGACTTATTTCACTTGGCATTACACTAGCTCCATCCATGTTGTTGCAAATGACAAGATTTCATTCTTTTTTTATGGCTGTATAATAAATATTCCACTATATATATATATATATATATATATATACACACACACACACACACACACACACACACATATATATATATACCACATCTTCCTTATCCATTCATCAAGCTGCTTCCATATCTTGGCTATTGTAAATAATGCTGCTATAAACATAGGAATTGCATGTATCCCTTTGAATTAGTATTTTTGTATTTTTTGGGTAAAAACCCAGTAGTGTGATTGCTGAATTGTAGGGTAGTTCTATTTTTAACTTAAAAATACATGATTTTAAATATGACATCTAATTTTAAAGTTCTTTAAATCATTCCACAAATAATAATGGGGCATCCATTATGTACCAGACACATCAGTATGTGCTAGAGTACAGCAGTGAAAAGACAAAGGTCCTGCCCCTGTGAAGCTTACATTCCTCAGGGGAAATGGACCATAAGCAAATAAACAATAACTGAGATCATTTCAGTGTGTACTGAGTGCTATAAAGAAAGTAAACAGGATGGCATGATAGAGAAGGACTTTGGTGGGGATAGAGGGTATAAGCAGAGTAGTTAAGGAAGTCCTCTCTAAAGAGACAATGTTAGAGCCGAGGTTTAGATGATTTATCAACTAGAATTGCATTCAGTTGCATGTAACAGAAACCTAATCATAGTAGCTTAACCAAATAGGGATTACTTTTTCACATAACTGCCAAGTTTAGAGGAGGCAGTCCAAGTCTGATGCAGTGGATCTGTGATGTTATAGGTGTACTAGTCTTCATCCATCCTCAGTGGGCCTGGGGCGGGGCCCAGTGATTTGCATTTATAACGAGCTCCCAGGTGATGCCTGGACTGCTGATCTGTGGACCACACCTTGAGAACCTTTGCTTTAGCCTCACATAACTGTTTCCATGGCAAGAAAACGCAGAAAGAGAAGGGGGAGGTAAAGGACGCAGCTGGTGTAGCTCTTTTAAAAAGCTTCCCAGGAGGCCATGCCTAGTAACTTCCACTTGTCTGCCATCGACCAGAATTGTATCACTCCTAGCTACGGGCAAGCTGGGAGGTCACGTATTGTAAATGAGGTTTTGCTGTCCCAATAAAATCATTGTTCTATTGGTAAGGAAGAAGGTGAGGGTGGCTTATGGGGTAGGCACCTGTGGCTTCCACAGATGAGGGGAAGCCAGTAGTGCAAACCTACAGCAAAAGCCTAGCAGGCAGAGAAAACTGCAATTGCAAAGGGCTTGAGTCCAGAAAGAGACACAAGGAGGGGACAGTAGAGGCACGTAAAGTTGGAGAGGTAGACAAAGATCAGATCACATCAGTCATGGTAAGGAATTCAGATTTTATTTCAAGTACAATAACAAATCATCGAAAGGTGTTAAGTAACTGAGTAAAATATTTTTCATATTTAAGACTACTTTAAAAATTACTTCTACAGATACTGATTATTTTGTGTAAGTGCATAAATGTGATATTTTTTAAGTGCAGCTAATTTTTTCTTTCTTTTTTTTTTTGTTTGGGTCCCTATCCCACTGTTCTCTCCCCTCCTCCATCTGTATTATTCACCTCACTCACCTGCTTACCAACCAAGTATGCATCCTTCCACTTACCATCATTCTCAAATATACATATGTACATATGTGTGTGTGTATATGTTCCTGTTTGCTTTATAAAAATGGGACCATATATGTATGCTTTTCTGTATGTTGCTTTTCTCCTTCGAAAATAGTAGAAATACCTCCAAGTGAACTAATCCTTATTTCTTAAAGGATCCATAGTATTCTAAAGCGTGGGCAGAACCACTACATACACTTAAGCAGTCCATGCACCACACAACTCATAATTTATGTGCAAGGACCCCTGGAGTTGTGTAGTATGTGGTGGCCTTTGTTGTAAATATGTTAGGGTTTATTCAACCATTCTCTTATTGATAAGAATGTCTTTTGATCCAGTTGGTCAAAGTGTTGTTTAGTTTTTCTATACCCTTGCTGTTTTCTGTCTACTAGTTCTGTCAGTTACTGAGAGAAGTGTATTTAAGTTGACAACTGTAATTATGGGTTTGTCTGTTGTTTCTTTGAGTCCTGTCAGGTTTTGCTTCATGTATTTTGAAGCTCTGTTGTTAACTGCACATACATTGAGGATTTATGTCTTGGTTATTTAACCCTTTTATCATTATGCAATGTCCCTCTTTATCCTTATTAATTTTCTTTGCTCTGAAGTCTATTTTGTCTGATGTTTGTATACTACTCAGCATTCTTTGGATTTGTGTTTACTTGGTATATATATTTTTTTCATCTTTTTATTTTTAATGTACCTATATAATTTTATTTGAAGTGAGTTTTTTATAAATAGCACATAGTTGGGTTATTTTTTAAAAACCTTCTGACAGTCTCTTTTTTAATTGGCATATTTAGTCATTGGCATGACTTAAGGTCATTATTTATGTTTGGACTTAGGTCTACCATTTTATTATTTGTATTCCATTTTTCCTCTCTGTTTTTGTTCCATTGTTTTTTCTTTGCTACTTTATTAGGTTATTTGAGCATTTCTTAGTATTTCATTTTAATGTATGTATTTTTTGCTATTATCTTTTTGTATATTTTTAAAGGGTTCTCTGGGGATTGTACTATACATACTTAACTTTTCACAGTCTACTTAAAATCTACCACTTTAAGTAGATTGTAGAACTATCACCACCATATAGATTTCTTTACCTTTCCTCCTTTATATATATATGTAGAAAGATATAATTAAGATGAGGTCATCCTGGATTAGGGTGGGCCCTAAATCCAATGATTACTATCCTTTCAAGAAGAGGAGAGGACACAGACACCAGAGGAGGAGGTCCCGTGAAGAGGAAGGCAGAGATTAGAATGATGTAGTTACAAGCAGGGAGCACCAAGGATTTGCCAGGAGCCACCACAAGCTAGGAAGAGGCAAGGAAGGATCCTTCCTTAGAGCTTTCAGAGGAGCCTGCTGACAACTTTATTTCAGACTTCTAGCTTCCAGAACAGTGAGAGAATGAATCTCTGTTGTTTTGAGCCACTCAATTTCTGGTAGTTTGTTATGGCAGTCTTGGGAAACCTAATACAGTAGTAGACCAATTTAAGATATATTTTGGAGGTAGAACCAACAGAGCTGTAGTTATGAAACATACTTCTGAAATATCAAAAAAAGTCAAGAACGAAATGTAAGACTTTTA